GCCGCTGGCTAGTTTCGTTGTTTGTTTTGTTTAGAAAAGCCTAAACCCTGGATAAATCGGGCGTACGCGAGAACACGTGAACGTATGTATATGCATTGACCTCGTTCCACTCTCTCGCTCGCTCCCCGACTCCAGCGTAAACACACACACACACCTTCCTGTTCTATGAATCCGTCTACGAGTTAGACGGCTAGTCCGTGCAGTAAACCTAGGCTCTACAGTTCGGTAAACCAAGTGCACCGGCGGCCGGCGGCCGGATCACATATCCGAACAGCTTGAATATTTTCTTCGTGGTTTTTTTGGCAGGAACCTATCGCCCGTGCCCTGGGGACCCAGGGCGGCCTGCTATGTCGTGGTCCGTAGGCGGGTTTTGTGTTGGGCGGATCGTGTCTGCTGCCGTCTGGTCAACCAGAAGACCAACGGAATGGTAAATTGATGGTTTGTGCTTTTTGACCGAGCATCCGGCTACTACTACGACTACTTTCAACAAAACCGACTGTTGACAAATTCAGCCTGAACTTTCTGGCCATGTTTATCCAGTCGTCAAAACCGCCATTCAGTCGTTTCTCACCGATCACTGTTTTATGGCAGATTAAAGCATAGGTAACAGAAGTTGTCGTATTTAAAGATTGGATTGTACTGCACAGTGTGTGTCTGTTGCTCTGATTCCATGTTACATGTGCGCTCGGAAGCTTGATGCTGCTATACACGACAGTCCGGTTGTTGTCTTCGACGACGACCTTTACCGTGTGCTCCATATCAGGATGATGCAGGTGTGGTGACTCGCACTGGATTATAGTGAGAGTAGACTTGCAAAGCATCTACCTCACTCTCTTTGCTGTCCCGTATAAAGTGATTGTAAGTATTCGCCTGTTTGAAGAAAACAATCGAGAATGCTAATGCTGCTCTTCCTAACGACAACCTGCATTGAATGAAGTGCTGGCGGCCTGTGGTTAGGCCATGGATAGTGATTAATTTTATCCTGATCTCTAGGCCTGTGTTTGCACCTCTGATTGACATGACATCACAAAGGCTATCTCTGCACTGTTGTTAATCAAAAGGGAAATTTTAGTCGCCGAATTTAACTGACTCCAGGTGCTCCGTCATGCATGCTTGCACACCTAGACTGACGTCACATGTTTACTCTATGCCAGATCCTCTGAAGAGCTGACGCTGGATCAGCACCC